TGACTGTGTTGAGCAGTGATTCAGCTTCATGTGGAGACGCTGTCAAAGAGAGCAGAGCAGCAGAGCACTGACTGATTTCTTTTTCCATCCTTTTCAGTTGCAGTGGTTCCCCTGGATCCTCTCCAGCCTCAGTGCAGGGTGAAGCTGCTCTGTCTGCTCTACACAGTGCTGATAGTGAAGAGTCTGGTGTACTGCTGTGGACTCTCTCTGCTGATGATCCTCACAAACAAGGGACCGTCCACCAACTGCAGACGTGCTGACTGACTGTTTTCTGCTCGTCTTTTCTCTCCATCAAATCTCATCACTTCATCTCATTTATCTCTTTCATCCCTGTTTTAAATTTAAGTCAAATGTATCTTTTTATTCACAGGTTATATACGGTCTGCTTTAAAATACAAAAACATATATACACATATTTTCACTTATTAAATCTAATTTCTTTAGTAATGTGTATTTTTATGCTGTATTTTATTTCTACTCTTAAGAGTTACTTGTGTAATTATAATAAATTCAGCTGAATCATTTGCTGTTTGGTAGATATTTTAATGTGTGTTGTATTTTTTCAATAATCTTCAATAATTGTCTCAGTGTGAATGTAAAACTCTTTGCTGATGACACTGTCTTTTACACACATCAACAATCAGCAGATTGAGCTGCTGTGAAACTACAGTTGTTAAAAAAATGATCAAACAGCAGTTTCAACATTTTGAGCTGAAGGTTAAATTGTTTGGTGACCCAAATACAAGTTTAATCTTCCAGCTTTATCCTTTAATAATATAAATAAACTTAGAGGTCAGTGGATTCATGAGGTGAACTCGTTAACATCTGGCCTGATTGCGATGCACATACTTCTCTGACAACAGCTTGTTTTTGATCAACTGTAACCTACTGAAATAAAGAGAGCTGAGGTGAACCAACATGGACGCAACAACAACATCATGTGTTTGTCTCAGTGCGTCGTGTTTCTGTCTCTGCGGTTTGTGGATAGTTGTTCAGATTAATCACAACAAATTGACTTTTTATTGTCAAATTTGAAGTCAGTGACTCAGTGTTAAAAACTCTCTCATGGTTTTAATTTAAAGTGAGTGAACTGTAATTTTAATTGAATTAAGACTTAATTTGATTTATTGGCTTAATGTGCTTCATATGATAAATAATTGTTGATTTAATCATAAAACAACAACAAATTAATGAAAATATAAATAAAAAAAGTAAATGAAAAACTTGGTTTTAGAAGTTGAATACTTAACTGGTTAAATTTTTAAAATGTAATATATAGAAAATAAACACACCTACAAAAAAGGAAATACCTCTTTACTTGATACCAAAAATATGCAGGAGAATATCTTAATATATCTGATGTTTATGTTGATTTGTAATTTGTCTGATGTGAACGCTCTAAAGACTGAAAACACTGTTAGAATTAGTGTCAGCTAATAAAATGGGACCTCAGCAGATTGAAGGAGCTTTAACGTCTAAAATTTAGCTTGAACATTAACCATGTTTTACAACTCTGTCGGTGTGGATGTAAAACTCTACACTGATGACACTGTTGTTTACACACACAAATAAAACACCAGGCGAGTTACTTCAAATGAATATAAAGTTAGAAATATGAAATCATTTACAAGCCAGTTGAAATTTATACTAAATTAAATATGAGACATTATTTACAAGCTACTGAAAGTTTGTGTAACATTACACAGATGCTTCCTGCAATGATTCTTTAACAGAGCGGATGGTTGTAGCTCTCATTGTGTTATTAAAGTGAAAAGCCACAGCTGACGGTGTGGAGGCTGCAGAAACCCACACATGCCGTCTGCTGCAGGAAAGGAAGTGGTGATTCGCTGTCAACAGTTTTTCCTAATAACCACTGAGAGCAGATTGATATCTGCTGCTGTACACACTCATGAACCCCCCTCCCTCTTAGTCACACTTTTTCCACGGAGCTCTCCACCCACACAAAGTTCAACTGAGCCCAGAGACCCTCAAAGACCAACCGCCTGGAGGTCATGGCCATGGGATGCTTTTATGGGGATTTGGAGTTTTAGCAACCAAAGGTCACTTTGCAGTTCACACTGTCAACAAGTGCATCTGCATAACTGACAAATGTTGTTTGTCAAGATCAAACATGACACAAATGAGAGTTTTCTGATCTGACGTCTCTAGAATTTGAACCAAGACAAGTTTGAATTTCTCCACTTGTTTAGAAACTGAAGGAAATTTAATTGTTAATTGACACATGAAGTAGCTTATAAATAATGTCATATGTGCACATTTGTATTTATTTAAAGTAGCTTGCAAAAAATGTCTCATATTAACGGAGTATACATTTCAAGGGGCTCAGACAAGATTTCATGTTTTTAACTTCATATGAATTTGAAATATGATAAAGTCAACTTATCAGTGTAAGTAGTCAATATAATTTTTATGTTATTGATGATTTGTTCCGAAGCCAAATGAAAACCAGTGAAAGAAGTTAACAAACCATAAACACTATGATTTTTTTATTTTATTAAAAGAGTAACACTGAAAGAATTTGACAAAAATTCTTCGTCACATCAAATGTATTAAAATGAAAAACAAGAAGAGAAAATTACTATTAAAAATGGTAATGACATACAGCAGTATTTACTGAAATACTGTGAGAAATAATAATAAGTGAGAATAATAAATGTGTGTATTTAATATTTTAAAGCAGACCATATATAACCTGTGAATAAAAAGATACATTTGACTTAAATTTAAAACAGGGATGAAAGAGATAAATGAGATGAAGTGATGAGATTTGATGGAGAGAAAAGACGAGCAGAAAACAGTCAGTCAGCACGTCTGCAGTTGGTGGACGGTCCCTTGTTTGTGAGGATCATCAGCAGAGAGAGTCCACAGCAGTACACCAGACTCTTCACTATCAGCACTGTGTAGAGCAGACAGAGCAGCTTCACCCTGCACTGAGGCGGGAGAGGATCCAGGGGAACCGCTGCAACTGAAAAGGATGGAAAAAGAAATCAGTCAGTGCTCTGCTGCTCTGCTCTTTGACAGCGTCTCCACATGAAGCTGAATCACTGCTCAACAGTCAGCGAGCCTTCATCACCTTCTTCTGCCAAGTGTTTCTGACAATTCAAATCACTCCAGGATCAAATGGAAAGTCCAACATATAAATAAATATAATATAAATTGAAGTTTGAACTCATTTTCTTTTTGCAGCCACTTGGGGGCAGAAGAACTCCTCAACAAGCTAAATAAACTCATCTGACCTTTGACCTCACACAGAGTCATTAGATTGTTTCTTAATATAGAAATATGAATGAGTGGAGCTTTAAGATACAGTCCCTGAAGCTGCTGTAGCTCCCTCAGAGCCCCACATTTAGTACAGAGCCCCCAGCAGGTGTGATTAGTCAGAGTGGTGCAGCTCTGTGACGGGGGTTTGTTGTGCTGTTGGACACTCTAACAGAATCAGGGAGTGTATGTTGAAATCCTTCAGTGATGAGCAGAAAGTGAACAGACTGATATGCAGCCCTAACTGCAGCAGAACATTGGAGCTGTCCATGCAGAGAGGCAGCAGGTGATCTTACAGTCATCTTGCTGCAGAGCTGCCAGGTGTGCTGGCTCTCTCTCTGGAGGACAGGGGGCTGCTGGAGCTGGAACCTCTGAAACAGAAAAGGAGTCAAATGTCTGGAGCTGCAGTGAGAAATGTCAGTGCTCTGCTGCTCTGCTCTTTGACAGCGTCTCCACATGAAGCTGAATCACTGCTCAACAGTCAGCGAGCCTTCATCACCTTGTTGTGTCTGGGCCTCCACTGTGCCGCCCTCGTGCTTGACGTAGCAGCGGTATTTATACGTGCTGTTCTCTGGCTGGTGGATCAGCAAGATGGCGGCGGTGCGTCCCGGCTCTGTGAGCACCAGCTGCTCTCCATCATCACGGGTCAGCTCCTCCAGAGAACCATCCTCCTTCTGTCTCTTCCAGGAGAACTGGACCAGAGGAGGAGACATGGCTGAGGCCAGACACAGCAGGGAGCTCTTCCCCTCCAGGTGGGCTCTGGATGCTGCTGGGTACACGCTCACCACGGGCTTCACTACCGGCTCATCTGAAGTTTGACAGCAGCAACAAGCAGCACAGACACATTCACACAGTCAACAGCAGCTTCCAGCACTGCACTGCATTCAGTCTGATCCTGGAAACTACATGGACTCTGATCACTACACTACTCATCAATACAGCACAAAGGTCTCCACATACACTGGACTCACCTTCACATAGATTTACTCTGCTGTAGATCATGCTTATATATGATGTATATCATCACAGAAAGATGGAATCACTATTTAAATTCTTTATACTCATATTTCACTTTCATAAATCATCAGCTCAGAATATGTGTCTTCATAATATTATATTAATATTAATGTATAATATATAATATAATATATATTTGTTTTATTTAACAAAAATACATATTTACTATTATCAGAAACAAAATGACAGTTATAAGATATAAAGTTTTAACTGAATATCTAATGATATAAAATATATTATAGGATTTTATTCCTAATATAACAACAACAACATTCACCATTATATATTTTAACAATACACAGAATGAAAAATAAAGAAGTGTGCGTGTATTTTTTTATTTTCTTATACCTACAATAGTTTAAGGTATAATTTCTGTGTGTATGCACATATAAACATTTTATTCATTGATATTAAATTCTATTTTATATTAGATAAATATATCATATATTGATTATAATCTTATGAGTGAAATATTTACCCTCAGACAATTTTATATAAATGCTTCATTAAAGTAAATAAATGTTTTAGTGGAAGAAATATTTGCAGTCATTTAAATAACAGTTTATCCACCAAACTAATATAATAAAAACAATATAGACTAATTCTCTTCAATTATACTAGATATATTCACACAATCAGACACATTCACCATTATATACAGTGTGGTTCACTTCATTAGATAAACAGTTTTAACTTTATACAGATTATATTCACTGAGAATTAGTGTAATATTTACCATGGAAGTATAGATCTATATATATCATCCAGCATTATATATTATACACACAGAAAATCTATAGGTCAGTCTAGTAATTATATCTAACCGACTTATAATTATTTAACATCATTAAAGTTGTATCATTATTAAATGTAATATTTTACACAATTTATATATTTTACTTCAACTTGTTTGTTTTCTGTTAAAATGAATATTTCACATAAAATACTTTAATCATCAGACATCAACTGAATTAATTTATTGTATTATCCACCATAAACTTTACAAATATAATTTCCCATGAAGGAAAATCAGGTTTAAAAACATGTGAGTTTGAAGAGTCAGAGTGAATGTGAAGAATCCTGCTCATCACTGAATTTCACTTTGATGAACTGAACATTTTGTAGCAAAAGTCAAGTGAGCAGGAAAATCCTCCACAATCCTTCATGTAGAAGTCAATTGATTTGAGGAGAGAAAAGAAAAGCAGTGTGATGATTGATGAAGCAGCAGCTGATGACGATCCACAATGCTCTTACAATATCAGACTTTTTGGACTCTTCAACAACTTTCTTGTCTCAAGCAGAAATAAAGAATTCCTTCTGCTGTGCAGTGAGACTGAAACATCTTTCCACTAATGTTGAACTTTTTCATTGAACAACGGCTGCATCAGGAACTTTGTACTAACTCTGAACAAACTAACATGTAAAGTGTGAAGCAGCAGAAAGTGACTTCAAACACATTTTACACTTCTTCAATAAAACAAGTGAAGGAAAAGAAATGTTTGTTCTTACCTGTTACATACAGTTTAGTTCCAGAGCCAAAGATGAAGTACCCGTATCCTCCCACAGTGAAAAAGACTGATACAAAAACCTGTCTGCTGCTGAATGTGTCAGCTGAGGTGAAGGAGTCCACATTATGAACCAGGATCATATTTCAGCTCCATCATGTGTTTCTCTAATGTTCATATCAACATGACTGTCTCTTCTTCTCTTTTCTTTGTTCTTCACACTGAAATATCTCAACAAATATTCACATTTCAATCGGTTCAGACGTTCATGTTCCCCTGAGGATCGACTGTAGGAACTTTGGTGATGCTCTGACTTTTCATCTAGCGCCATCATCAGGTCACATTTGAATCTGTCCCATGTTAGCATGCTAACATTTCCTATAACAACCAACATGATGAACTTTGTAGCTGCTGAACTTCAGCCTGTTAGCATTGTCACTGTTAGCATGTTAGCATGTAGCTGAAAGCAGCACTGTGTCTAAGCCCAGCCTCACAGAGCTGCTGCTTGGCTCTAGACTCCTGTTCATCTTTGGCTTGGAGCCTCATCACACTCGTCTTTGTACATGTCATTGCTCCAGTTTTTCTCATGTGATTTAAAGTTTCTTTGTTGTTTCGAGTTTTTCTGTTGGATCTGATTTGATTCATTGAGTTCCTTTGATAGTTTTCTCTTCATCTTGTTTCATTATTGTGCTTCTGTGTTTCTTCTTTGTCCTCACTGTGAGGAACAACAGGAAACCTGCTGAAATATCTGATCAAAATATCAATCAATATCAAAGAAAAGTCAAGAAAAAGTGTGTGAGCTGGAGGTGAAATATGTGAACCTGGGCTGTGGTTTCCTGCTCTCTTCCTGTCACAAACACTGTTTGACATCTGTTCATCTGGAGGTTTTTGTTCAGGCTGCAGGGATCATTTCTCACTGTGGGAAACTTTCTTCAGACAGGAGCAGTAGTAGGAGGCTGAATGAGAGAGTTGAACTTTCTCTATCTTCAACTCACAGCCGTTTGGTTTCTTAACAGCTGTGAAATCATCTTTCTGAGGATGATTGGAACCTGATTTAACTTCACTAGTATTCCTGTTAATAATAAGAATCAGTGTGAATGTTTCTGTCTCTTTCTTCTGGAACCAGAGTATCCAATCATTGTCACACTGG